CTGTGGCAACTTGGAGCACCTACAGGCATGGAGCTGTTGTTGCCTATCCTTGCCTTCAAGCTTCATAATCCTCATATTTCTGTGCCTCTCAGTTTATCACATGTTTTAGGACTTGGGGTTTCTAGACCAAGGCTAGAAACTGCTAAATTTTTAGGAGGGCGTTTGTCTAAGACAAGATGTCATAGATTACTTTTGGTCACGCTGTATTTTGTGTTGTGATTGTGTTTGATTAAAATTCCTCAGGCATCTTTTCTGAGTAAAGCAAAGCACGTGGTCATGCAGTGTCCCAGTCACACGGTAACAAAGGACTCCATTGCAACATTTCATTACAAGTCTGTGTATATCACAGTTGCTTCCATTTCCAATATCAAACCCACTGACAACCCAAGGGAAAGTCTAATGTGCTGTCCAGATATCTGCAGCTGTCTGGAAAGTTTTTTTGCAATCCCCATTCTCTGTTTTGTTAAATATTTTCTTGTGCTCTTTTCAATCATAAGACTTTTTACTTTTATCAACTATTAAAAAAAATTATAATGATCCAGAATCTATTTTGCTGTCACTTCCTTTAATGTAATACTTTATCTTCCACTAATTAAGCTCTTTATCATGAACAATTGCTGTCATCTTATACAAACAATTGCCAAAAGGTTATCTTCCTCTAATAAGAGCACAGGAAATTGTGCTAGGGATTACAGGCCCTGTGGAGGTTTGCCAATAAATCTTCTACATAAAATATTTGTAGTCATTGTAATTGAATACTGTACTTTATGCTAGTGCAGAATCACATTCTTCCCTCAAGTTCATCATGCCTAAGTCTTTTAGGGCTTTTGTGGTGCTTATGTGTTTAACATGCACTTGCTTCTGCAGCCAGAAAGTAGATTTAAATGACAGAGGAAAGAAAATGGCAAATGTTTTACTTATCTCCATTCCTGTGCTGCAAAGAGTAGAAACACAGATGCAGATACAGGGCAGTGGAGGGGAGAGTGTCATGCCTGAAGGGCTGTGGCAATGCCTGTTGCTGATATGCCTGTAGAGAAAGTGCAGACAAGAATGAGGGGCATCAAGTCAGACTCATCAAAGCAGATTTGGTTTCATGGGGACTGTAGTGAAATTACAGTGTTTCACCCTTCATTTCAGATGAAACAAATTTATACAGCTTTTCTTGCATCTCTTTCCTTCTGACTTGGCTTGTGGTTAATAGTGACACAAGCTAGAGAGAATCTAATTTGTGCATGTCCTCTGCACCTCTGACAATAATGTGTGTGTGCTGGAGAAAAATGTATCAAAACTGAACAGGTCACCATGAATACTTCCAGCCATTCCCCACTCCCACTTGACTCATTCTTTGGTTAATTAGATTGTTCTAGTCAGGAGTCCTGCAAAATTAAACATTGGGTGTTAGAATACAAACAAAACTCTATTTGTTTAATGGTCTTTTGACTAATGGAATGCTTTCTTGATGATTAAGATAAAATGAGATCTCTGGAATAGGATCATAAGTTTGGTGTTGACTCCAAAAATTGAGGTTCAGAAACATCTTTCACTAACAAATAACTATCTCAACTTTGCCCATTGTGCATCCATCTCTAGGAAAGGCCATTCTTAACATTTGTGTGATGTGCAGTGGTGGGGTGTACATGCAGCTGATCTGTCCAACTCTCTGTTCTGGTTCATCACCCTAGCTTTTCCTTAGCTTTCCTTTGTAAATTATGGGGGTTTTTTTGGTGCAGATAGGATGTCTTTTTGGCTCTTACATGGATTAGGATCTTATTAGGCAAGCTGCATTCTGGAGTGTTACCCATCCTCTGAATCCAACTCATGTTCCTTAGTACATCAGGAGCTTTCTTCTCACTCATTTAAAACATCTTCTCACTAATTTAAAACATAGCATTTGAAATGGCCTTAAGTAATCCATTTCTAGTGCTTATCAAAATACAAAATTAAAATAAAAGCTAAATTTCATTTTATATTTAATATAAAATTTAAATTTAATATAAAAATAATCCAGCCTCGGTGAAGAGTTTTGAGTCCAATTTTTCAATGCCTGAGCAGGCCCCCAAATCTGCTATGCAACATGCAAAATGAAGCTCCCAGTTACTCTGAAGCCAAAACTGGCCATTATAAAACCTCTGTAAGCTGGCTGCTAGTCTCAGAGCTCATTATGAGGGAGGTCATTCTTCCTTACAGCAATGAATGTAGCTTTTGAGTACATTTTAAAAGTTTCATTTCATCACAATGCGGATGAATTGTTTCAGTCGTGATCGCCTGATGGGAAACTAACTTTCTTCTTCCTGGTAGAAAAAATACTGTGTTGATTCTTGCAGCAGCTTTTAGAACTACAGGATGTGATTTCCTTGATTCTTTTTTTTTTTCTTTAAAGACTTGAAGATTTTGGCACTAACAAAGGAATTTTTTCCTTTCTTTTTAACACAGATTAGTCAGTTTTCTTATGAAATTGGTGAATATGCAGAATAAAATTTTCAACAGACTCTTTCTGTACATCATCTTGAAGTGTTTTTTGCCAACAGTGTTTTCCATTCCTCCATAAAAAATGTGTGATTGCAAAATGCTTTAAAGAGTGTATCAGTTTCAGATTTGGCTGAAATGGTTTAAATAGGCGAAAGAAAACAAGTTTGTTGGTTTTTTGTTTGTTTGTTTTTGTTGTGGATAATCTTTCATACCCTAATTGGAAGAGTTTGAAGAAGACGCCAGGTTCATTTTGGAGATATATAATATTAGAATGAAAAAACATGTCCTCAAGCCAGTACACAAGAATTGCCAGTGAGATCCAAGGAAATATTTTCTTTTCCCTGTGAGAATGGTGAAGCATTGGAAGACATTGTCCAGGGAGGCTGAGAACATCCTAAGAGAAACTCAGTGCAGAACTGGCCAAGTCCATGAGCAGTCTGCTGTAGCTGACCCTGCTTTGGCCTGGGCATTGAACTGGAAGCCACCAGGAATCCCTACAACCTAAATTATTGTGTGATATTAGTCTTCTTTGTATGAGCAATATCTGTGCTATTGGATGAATTTGCTGTTCCGTTATACAGTTGCATTTTCTGCATGATCGTTGACAACTGCAGAGAAATAGAGAGGGGGTGATTTTGGTAGAAGTGAGAGGTTTCCAGCAGCAGATAGCTGGTGAGCAGCTCAAGTCAGGAGTCCAGTGCAGCCAGCTGCTGCTCATTCAGGATATTATCCTGCAGCCATGGATCAATGGGGTGGGTGTGTACAGCACTCCTTGGCCACTTTGTGAGGACTGTCATGTAACTACCTCTGAACAAGTATGCCCAGCCTCGATTTTCATTATGCACATTAAAACATTTGTTGGTGAACAGAAATGGTAAGTTTAAAGTACTGTATAGCTTTACTTTCCCTAATATTGCCAGGACCAATGTAGAAGAATCCTGTCTCATACCACTAGTCCCTGTATGCTGGGAAAAACAAATAGCAGCGCTTCCTAACACGTCTTCTCCCAGCAAAACTCCAGGACTTTTTCCAAGTAAGTATGTGCTTCAAAACATGTTTAAATGTTACATTTTCACATGACTTAAACTAAACATTTAAAGTATCAAGGATATTCCATTTTAATCCTCTGTAATCTTTTTGATTACTCTGTGGTTGTTGGAGAGGCTATTGACTGCCTGTTGCTGGAGAGATTCAAGATGATCAAAAAGGCATGTGTTATGTATTGCTTCCTAACTCAATAGATCAAAAAGGGAAAATTCCTTGGTATTAACTATGTTTAAATATTTCAGCTGAAAATTGTTATGGCTTCCAGAAAATGTTCTCTGTTTCCTTTCTTGCTATTCAGAAGTAATTCATTAAATCAGGTTATTTTAGTTTTTAACATGGATGTGTCAGTGCTATCCTGTTGCAGGTCCGTAGAAATTCTGAGCTATAAACATCAAAGAAATTCTGTATCAATGAGGTGTGTGGTCTAGGCTGGAAGAAGATAGATAAGACAATTTAATTTCTGGTCGCATTCTTCTTATTGGTGTCCTTAGTGCTTATTTTCTAAGGTGGTTGGTGACAAGGAGGAGTACAGACCTCATGAAGCACTACATAATGTTCATGAAAGACAAAGCGTTTCATTTTCAGATAGGTATGAAGAATTTTTTTTTTCTGAAAACTCAGACAAATAGTGCTGATGTATCTTCTATGCTGTATAAAGTTGCACAAGCTATTTAAAACTGTCACACTGAAGAGCTGAGATGAAAGTCTTTGTGGCTGTTAGCTCTGACTCAAAAAGAAATCTTTGTATTTTTTTTTTTGTCTCTCCCACCACCCTTAGAAGTGGTAAAGAAATTCCTTTAGTATTAGTTGTTTGTGAAGTACCCAAGCTGTATAGTCCAACAAGCCTAATTAAGGGTGACTGTTACATTCTTATTTACCAATAAGGAGACAAAATACATAAGAAAATTTTGGTCATACCATTTAAACAGTAAAAAAAATGCTATTGTGAATGAATTATACACAGTGTAAAATGTCTTCATAAAAATCTGATGTGCTTCAAGTCAATGCTGAAGTGGAAGAAGTGGTGCATAGATAGAGGGGAATGATAATCTGGTTTTTATTTAATTTAACCAGCTGTGGGTGATGAAGATAGAGTATTGTAGTTGAAAAAAGGATTGCATCTAGAACCCAAATGTAGGTCACAGTCCAAGAGAGGAATAAAGGCAGTTTGAGACCCATACAGTTTATGATGGATGATGGAACATGAGCTCTTGGTGTAGAGCACTCAAAGAAGGGGTGCAGCTTATCCCCAGTTACAGGAGTGATGAAGATTCAGTACTGTGTGAAAGGGTTTGATTCACATGAGTTGCAAGGGGAACAGTAATTGTAGAAAAGCTGTCAGGGAGTGAAGTTTTGCAATGATCCAAGAGCAGGTCATCCTCTGTGCAGGGTAATATTTCTGCCAGTGGACAGAGTTTGGATTTATAAGGCAGTGGCATAACAAGTTACAATGTCTGGAAGCTGGAACACAAAATACATGCTACTAATAAGTAATATTCTTTATTATGCTGATGATTCATCTATGAAAGAACTAAGCCATAGATTAGGTTCCTCATCTGGCCAATTCTTTCAAGATACCAGATTAGCTGTCTTTCTCCAGAGGAAATGTCATAGCCTTGTTGGAAAGGTAGAAGACAGTGAGATGATGGAGGACTCGCTGGATGAAGCCTTGTGGGCTATAATAATCTGGAAGCTTTGTGATCTGGAATAAGTCTGTCAGGAACTGGAGTGAGGCCATCAGGTTTTTTTCAGATAGGCTGCTGAACAGCTGTCAGACACTAGCTGCCAGATAACATAAAGAATGTGTCCTGCGTTGCCAGAATGTCTAAGTGATTTTGGCAGTGGAAGGAAATGTGGGCTTGCTTCATAGTCTTTTCACCACAGGAAGGGATGATGCACATTATAATCTGTTCTAGCAGAACATTTGTTTGGGCACCAGAGGAAACAAAAGATATTACAGGACAAAAATCCAGATCAGTGCCCTGTGGAGAGGGTAAGACCAGGTCTTGGAGGCTTTTACGTGCAGTTAAGTTTCACTCTTCAGGTAACTTTTAGAAGCAGATCACTAAATCATGTGGTACTTTTTGCTGACAGTTCTGACTTGTTTGAATCTGTTATACATCATTGATTGAGAGTAGCTTCTACTGGACTCACCAAGGTTAGAGATGGGAAATTTGTCTGCTTTTACATATCTTTGGTCCAGCAAGACTTTCTTCTCTTTGCTTAGACTGTGCCAGTTTGGGGCTACTGCCCTTTCACAAGTGTCAGATCTGAATGTTGTGCTTTACACCCAAATGGATGTTAACTTCCTGCTGATTTAGGTATCCACTTTTCTCAAACCCAATCTCCTGGGGGTTTACTCCCCTCATGGCAGGTTCACACAGCTTGAGCTGCAAAATGTAGACCATGGAAATGTTGAGAGGGAAACTCCAAACCTTTTCATTTTCATCTTGACTCTTCCTGTACCACTTAAGCATGTGTCCTTTGGGGTTTGGAATTAGCACCTAGACACCAGTCTTGCTTGGTGGGTCTTTATGTGGACATACTATCTGCAGTTAAATTCCAGTAAGAAAGTCACCTTCCGATGCTGCAGTTGGTCTTGTCCCCCTACCTATCTTGTGACACCCTGGCCTGATATAGCACTGTATCACCACGTGTTGGGGTGGTGCAAGGGTTTGTCTCCTGCCTGTTAGGACAGGCTGAGGTCTCAAGGTGCCAAGTCTTTCTCTAGAGCCTTCCACATTACCAGCTTCTTGTCATCCCTCTTCTCAACTTTCTTATGAGAAAGGGATAGGGATGGCAAAGACATCAAACAAACCTGAAATTCCTCAGTTTATAGAAATAGTGATGCAGTCTGTGGACATAAAATGGGTAACAGTAAGGAACCCTAAACTGTATGGACACCACTGAGCTCTGTCTTGCTTTTCCGTGAAGGTGCTTCATCTGGAGAGAGGCATGAGGAACATACCAGTGCTTGTCAAGAGAGATGACTGTCAGCCACTCCCAACTTCACAAGCTGATAGTGAAGAATTACACTAAAATAGTGACTGCTAAATTAATTCTAATCAACTGGAAATCAAGAACTGAGAAAGGATGAATATACTGCATAATTACAGCATTGTTCATATAGCATAGATATTTAAAATGTTACTTTCCTACTAGTACTGAGAATCTGCTGGAAGTCAGTCTTAGAACATAATCCATTGCAATGAAACACTGCAGAGAAATTATGATTAATTTTCTATCATAATAATCATATTTATATATAATTTGTGACTGTTCAGTTCTGTGAGGGACTTGTATCTCTAGGAAAAAAATTCAGGAAAGCCACCAAGGTTCACATGAAAGTGGGGATCAATGTACTTTCAAGTACATTTATTTACTCAGCCAAAAATAAGCATGTGCAAACATTATAGGGTTCAACAGGAAACCAGTGAACCAGCTAGCTTCCGAAGGAAAGATCTTGCTATCTGTTTCCACAGAAAAGCACCTCTAGCCATTACCATATTTTGAAAGGCCACTATTATTGGGTATTTTGTTCTGTAACCCAGTGTATAATCAAGAACTAGTAAGAGAAATTTAAAAATTATTTTACAGTAATTCAGGAATAGTTCAATACCATCAAAGACAAATCATTCATGCTATCCCTCAAGTGCTTTTTCTGTTGTTGTTAAATCCTCGCTTCTTTCTGTGAAGTATCTGCTTTGCTTTGCTGAAGATTCCTCACATTTCACACAGAAGGTTCTCTCCCCCACTAACTCCAGGCTGTGTCTGTAAGTCAGGTCTTTCTCCTCATAAACTGGCAGTTTGCATCTCACGTGTTATTGGGAAGTTCTTACAAACTTCTTGAATTTGTTATGCTTTCTGCAAACAGTGCTGCATTGCAAACTTCTGCACAGTGCTGTGCGTGATGAAGGAAAAGAGCATAGCTCAAAGTTCTTTGGGCCATCATGTGCTCTGGTTACTTCTGAGTAGCAGCCCCCATGTCTGGGGCTGTATACATGCCTGGTGTTGTTTTGTGCTGCTGTGTGAGAAAATGAAGCAGTGCAGCAAGATCTGAACAAAAAATTACCACCTTTTACCAAAAATGTATTTTTTTCATACCAACTTTTCTGAGTCTTCTGCCTTAATTAATCCTCTTTCTTGATTATTCACTTAAAAATGAGTGAAGTGCAACAATTCACAAAGTCTACTTATGTACATAGAGCCATGAGGTGTATTTAGGTATAGGATGATTGCTTCCATGTACTTTCCCAGGAGTTTTATGACTAGCTCTCTGAGCTGGCAGCAGGACTGAATTACTGGCATTGTAATGCCTTGCTGAGCTGTAGTGGTGCTTTTGGAGAATATCTTGGGTATCACATGCTTGAAAGAAAGATGGGAGTGCCCATCTTCTACTTGTAGTGAGAGGTAGGGAGAATAAGAAGAAACCATTGTCAAGTTCAGGTGTTTAGACTGCTGTACCTGCGTTTGTAATAAACAGGTATTTCCCTAGTCACTGACAAAATGTAGCTTTTCCTCATCAGATGAGTCAATTCACAAAGAGACAAAGTTTCTATACCACAAGGGCATTCCTGCCAGAGGACAGATTTTTGTATCAGATACATCAAACAGGCTGAAATTATATCTAATTAATGACTGTGTAAGCTGGCCTTGTGCTAGAAGGCCATATGTTCATTTGTGTAGACATGATGAAGACAGGCAAACAGCATCTGCAGAGATTACAGATCTGCCCCAGAGCTGCTTACTCACTGTGAGGCACTTGATGAGGAAGGCACTGCTAATGCCAACTGCCTGAAGTACCACTGATACTCACTGATTGTACATGATAATACGTGAATTTTCATGGCGCGTTGCTGCCTGCAGTCTTTTGTCACTATGGGATGGGGTCCCCAGCATGTTGATTGGTTGGGGGTACCTCATCTGTAGAAGGGCTGGGCTGTGGTATAAATGTTCAGACACTCAGGGAAACCTGTGTGTGAGCACTAACATGGCAGATAGTTTCTAAGTGTTTGTTTTTATCAAGAGAAGGGAAGCAGGCATGAGTGGGAATGGCTCACGTGTGGAGTCACAGCTGAGAGCTTTTCTCCAGCCTGTGGGAGCAAAGTGTCTTTCATCATTAAGTCCACTAGTCCTGAAGATGTGTACCATAGCTAGAGGGAATGTGTGTGTGCATGTACCTCTGTTAAGTATATTTCTAGCCAATGAGGGAAGGGAAAGTGTGTTTTAAAGGCATTCAAATAGTAGTTCAGTGTAAAATCCCTCCTGGAAATCTCTCTCAGCCTTTGAGAAGGCACTGAGAGTGATTTTTAGTTGTTTTTCTTTTCTGGTGGAGTACATTGATATCAATTATATTTCAATGAATAAATAGGAGACTTTGGGAAGAGCCAGAGGAAAGTAAATAATTCTGCTGTGATCCATTTTGCTAAGATGAATGGTGACCATTTACCTTTCACCAGATTTGTTTTGTCTCACTGGGGAGATGATGGCTTGGATTGCATAGGCAGAGTCTGGAGAAATTCTATTGAGCTAGAGGAGAAAGGAATTTCTTTGTCCTTGAGTTTTGTATTTGTCCTCTGGGATGAAGGATAAGTCAAACAGGCTAATTTTGTAAAACTAAGTCACATCATTTTTCCCCCAGTATTTTTGCCATATCAGGCAGCTCTGTCTTTCTAATACTATTTTTCTTCTGACTCTTATTCTGCCAGAGATCAGCATTCTGGGTAGATGACTTTCAGTGCTCTTCTGCCTGTGAAGAAGAAACATTAGGCAAGAGTCAAAGAAGGGATATTGTTCAGCTTTGTGGCCACATATATCCTCACTATCTCCGTATAGGAACCCTTAAATCCTCCAAAAGTAAGGATTTGCATTAGAAGATTGGAAGTTTTGTAGTCACTTGGCAGTGATCTGGAGCCACTTTTACACTTGTCTGTATACCCTCAGTGGGCAAGTGGACTTTTCTGATCAATTGCAGAAGAAATTGGAGAGATTTTAGTTGTCTCGGTATCTCTGTGGGTTTAGTTCTTAATTATCCTTTTGTGCCATTCTGTTGAAACGTGTTTGTTAATCGCTCCAGAGTACTTTAGCTTCTTTCAATATATTGAATTCCACTTGCATGCTTTTAAAAGTGTTTGCGCAGCATATGCCTTTCTTAGGAGTATGGGAAATATCCACAGTCTGAAACAAAAGTGCAGTGTTCCAAACTCAACATCCATGTTGTTATCCCATAAATTAGTACGCACTGTGCTGTTACGTAAGTTTGCCTTGTGTCAGAATAATAAAAGCTGAGTGTACTAAAAAGCTGATAAGCCTGCCATGAAGAATTACATTGTTCAAATTTTTCTGCCTTAAGATAACACCTGTTGTGTTACTGACATGCTGGTAGTATAGTGTATCTTGAGAGCTAGTATAAAAAAAGAAAAAGGAATTTTTCAGGCCGTTCAGGTCTGAGCTTTGGCAGCCTTGAATTTAGTATTGTCTCAGAGCCACTCTTATACAAAAGGACTTCAAGAAAGCACAGCTGTTCTGTATTTTTGGATATTAAAAATGGACAAAGTCACTTTTCAGTAATACTGCCATAGCCTCGAGGACCGAATGCAAAAAACAAGCGCTCCTTCTGTTGGCAGGTGGGAAGTTCAATCCCTTAAAAGGCAAAATAAAAAAATAATAAAATAGATGGTTGTGCAGATTCTGAGGGTAGCCTGCAATGAGGGTGAAGGGACAAGTACCCCACAGCTGCCAGAGAAAATCACTGCTGGCAGTGTGTACGCATAAAGTGACAGCGCGCTTCCAGCAGCCCTTAAATGAGTGGCGGGGGGGAGAGGGGAAGTTCACCCCTGCTACCACAGTTCTGCACAATGATCGCCTTTCTGGGTGCTGGGGTCACAGCTGCTGTCTGGAGATTATGTACAGAAGCACTCTTCTTCTCTGGAGAATGAGGTTTCCTGGAGGATTAAGCACAGGCTGAAAGCAGGAGGAGTTATTCAGGAGGGAGACAAAGGCCGAGAGCCCACGGCTGTGACAGGCGACAGGGGCGGAAGACTGGGAGCAAGAACACGGCTGCCGGGATTTGCTGCTTGGATGGGAGAGCCTTCAGTTAGGGATCCTGAAGTGGTCCAGTTGTGGGGGGGAAACCCACTGAGGGTTTGGCATGACCTTGCTTGCTGGTAGAACTCAAAGTGTCCTTTCCCACTCATGTGGGAAGTGGAAGGAGTCTGAAGGGCTCTGCCACCATTTAGTATTCAGAAATAGTGATCAGTAATCTGAACCCCCATGTAAAGGTATATATGCACTCCCCATCTGCTCAGAAAGTGATGCTTTTTGCGTTGCCTTCTGTCACTGACATGTTCCACCATGACTTCTGAGCCTGCTGCTTTGGTGTTTCCTTCTTCCCTCTTCCTTCTTAGCTTCTTCTTTTTTATCTTCTTTTTTTTCTTTCTTATCCTGCTATTTCACCTCTTGGGTACAACATTCCCAGGCAAGTATCCAGAATATCCTTCACCCACGTATCATGTGCCAGCACCTCTGTTTTGTGTAGGAAGGTCTTCTATATTTGAAACCAGGGCCATCTGTCTCAATGCTAAAAAAAAAACAAACAGGTTTCTTGCAATTTTCTGCAAGGGCAATGGACACAGTTCTTCTGCATAACTTTAAAAGGAAAAATGCAACCTATTCTATAATAATATCTGAAACTTCTATTTATCAGTTCTAAAGTTAAGTCTTATTTCACCTACTGGATCAAATTTTCCACAGATCCTATATACTGGCAACTTCTTTTTAATGGCTTCAGAATCCACTAGTGCTTTTTATAATTTGAAACAAATTAGTGCTGCACATAATGTAGGAAAGGAGAGGTGGAGGCAGAGGAGGCTGACAATGCATGCATTCAAATGATGTGAAAGTGCAAGTGGGAAAAATTTGACTGAGTTGGTAGAGCTTGTCAGAGGGGTTTCAGGCATATCATGTATTAGGAAAGCATAGCTATTTTAAAAGAATGAAACTTCTTAAAAGGGGCAGAATTCCAGAAGGATGCTAATGAGTAAGTATTGGGTGCCAGTGTTTAAATGTAATGTCATGGATGCTAATTGTTTTTCCTGCTGTATGGATATTTCCTAAGTGCAGCGTGACTCTTAACCAAATCACTTTTAAAACTTTATTTGCCTCTCACTTTGTAAAATCCTCTCTAAAAAGGACCATTGTCAAATAAATTTATAAGAATTAAAAGACTGCTGTTACAGCTGAAAATAGTTCATGCTTTTGATGTTACATTTAGGCACAAACATAAACAGGAAATCATACAAAAATATTTGAGAGGAGAAGCTCAGTGTGAGGTAGAAATGTAACCTGTGCTACTCACTTCTGGCCCTGGCTGATACATTGTTAAGAGCAAAATGCTGAAGAGTGCTCATTTGCAAGGAGGAACTGAAGCAACTTTGATTTTTTTTTTTTTTAATCAGGAGTCTTGTGAAGAGTACTGATGACTGCCCACATCTGGTGAATTGGATTAGAATCTAATTAGTATGCAGAGTTTAGAAAACTTTTGTAAAGTTTCAAAAATAATGCAGAGGAAAGAAACAGCTTTGCTGAAAATTCAGAGAAGAATTACTGTTCCTCTGAGCATAACTTGAAAGTAGCTTTCCTGCTCCTTAAAGATGTGGCTGTCGTGGATGGTAACCTATTTTATTTGTTAACATTTTCTGTTCAGATAATCCATTAAGTTTAAAGATATCTGTAGTATCTAATTGACCCCTGTAGCTAAGAGTCCATCTGGAAATCTAGGCACATACTGAGAAAGATCAATAAAGCGATTTTAGTATTTGTGAAAGCAATTTTTGTGGCCTGGTTTATGCTTCAAAAAGAATAATATACCTGTCCTATGTTTGTGAAGTACCTCAGCAAACACAAAGGATATCCCGTTTATGTGCTTACTTTTTCAGCACTGTGTTGTAATAGCATATTTCCAAGCAAAAACATACTTTCCTCTTTAATCTCGTTCACTTACATGTACACCAACTATTCTGTGTAAGAAAGTGTTTAAATTCAGGCTGAAATGTGGTCCAGAGGAGAAATGAAGGCAGAAACTTCTTCTGTAATTCTTACGGTAGAAGAATAGAAATTCTTTCCCCATGTCTCTAAATTTAGGGCTTACATCAGCACTGAGAAGTATTTTTTAAAAGAAAATGGTGATTTGTGAAATAGAAATTACAAATATTTTAAGATGCAAATGGCTGCTTTTTTGTCTTCCTTCTCCATTGCAGTTCTGAATGTCTGTTGTCTGCGCAGCCTTAAGGGTGCAATCTCTTTCTGTGGGACTGAACAGGGCTTATTTACAGAGCATATCCATAACAGTGCTTCAGCTTGCAGGGGTGGAAAGTAGAGCCCACTATGTATTGGTAGTATATATTTTGTGTCCTGAAGGAAAAATCTTAAATGGTATTTATGAGAATGGATCGGCATAACACTAGCAGATGATTCAAACTGTGGAAAAATTACATTTTACTCCTCTAGGGCATCCCACATACTTAGTAGCTACATCTTGGTTTAGTTGAGATTTTTTTACACGCACACATATATATATAAATTTTTTTTTCCTCTTTGATCTATTTGGAAGAGAGATAAAATTCTGTCAACATCTGTGGTGACATAACATTGCAGATAGAGCATAGGTAGAAAGAAAGGAGGACTGCGTCTTTTGGGGAGAAAAGGGTTTATAAGTATCCAGGCCCTTGAGGGTTTCTGGGTTTCTTGGCTTCAGTAGTACAGCTCTGTGAGGAAGCTCTCTGTAGCAGAACACAGGCTATTTCTCCCCGGTTTGGGATCAGCTTGTGCAGCATGTCTGGGACCATGCAGGATCACTGTGGAAACGTCAGTGCTTGTAGAACCATGGGCTCTGTCCAGCCATTGCTCCCCAAATAGGATGCAGTAGGATGTATAGGATGACATGGGGAAGCATTTACTTCTCCTCTCACTCTGCTCTATGCCTACTTGCACCACTCTCCTGATCTTGGTAGTGATGTAGCTGGTGGCCCAGCTCTTCAGTATTTGGCATTCTCTGTTTTCCAGCCTTGATCTGAAAGGAATTTTCTGTTTTATGAATCCTGATCCTCTCTCCAAGGACAAACTTGAAAACCACAATACTTTTTTCTTTAACATCTGTGTGTCTGAATAAGTTCTGGGACTCTTGCATTTGGAGCAGAAAATTTAGACCAGCAAATTTCTACCATTTCCTGAAAGGGCTGAAAATCACCTCTGCCTTCATATATGCAGCAAGATTCCCCAAGTCAGGGCAGTGTTTAGAAAGTTGCAAAAATAGTAATGATCCTTGAAATCGGTTTTTTTAGACTGAGTTAAAAGGACAGGAAAGGAAATGTGTGGAGCTTGTCCTGCTTCACAGCACATCAATCTCTTGTGTGAGTGCCAATAGTTTTGGGGTTTGGTTTTTTTCACAAGATTAATATAGAAGGACAGAAAACTATTTCTGCCTACAGGAGCAGGCATAGTGTATCCTGCATTCTCTGTGTCTTCCTCCTCTCACTGAATGCTGAAGCGTGAAGCGTATTCTGAGATGTTTCTATGCTGTGCACTTGCACAGCAGAAAACAGCAGTAGGTGGGGTATTGGAAAAGTTAATAGCACTTTACTCAATGTGGAGGTGAGAAGGTAGTTTTGTTTCAGCAAGACAGTGACTCATGATGCCAAAATGAATGTGATGAGGGTGGTTTATTTTAGCTTAGATATCACACATACCTGTTGAGGTCTGAGATAAAGCAAGCAAACCCTCAGTAAGCATACTGTCAGAGTTCAATACCCTGTAGTGATCCAAGTTGTAAAAGCCTGCCTCATCACATGAGAACACAGAGCGCTCTTTCTGGGGCTCTCTGAAAGGAAGAGTGGTGCCTTTGTTGGCAGGGTGCTGCCCTGTGCCAGAACACCACAGCGGATAGCGGCATGTGCTCTGTATTCATCGTTGGTCTGAATCCAGTGAATCTGAAGAATAAATGAAATTTGAGAATATTTCCTCGATTGGGGAGTGCTGTGATCAGGTCCCATTGGGTGTCAGCAACGTGAAAGGCACTGCTTTACCCTGGTCTGAGTTCTTTCACTTCCTTTCTTCTTCATACCCCAAGATGCTGAAGAGAAATTCTGCAGGTGAGACATAGTATTTCTAAATAAGTGGAGGGCTTTTTTTCTCAGCTTTCTCTTTCCTTGGTTTAAATTCAAAACTATGACACTGTTATACCTGAAGTTTCTTTTGACAGACCTTCACTCCTAAGAAGCCTAAAATCTCATTGCTGAGTTTACTGGACCTTTCTAATGGGCATATCTCTTACTACCTGTGGTGGGTTGACCCTGGCTGAACATTAGGTGCCCTCCAAAACCACTGCCCTCCTTAACTGGGTAATGCAGAGAAAATGTAGCACAAGTCTGGGTTGAGATTAGGAGAACTATATATGAATGGAGCTGAGATCTGTTTTATTTCATTTTCTGTGTCAAGCTGTTGTGGCATTTGATTCCAAAGGACTCATCTAAGAAAGCGTGCTTACAAAGTGAAGTTCTCATGCCAGTGTGAATGAGAAAATCGGTCTCCATTTTGGTCTACAATTCCTCTTTTCTCCTGCCTAGACTGCTTTGTTACTCTCACCCATCTGTTAACAACCTAATGAAGGCCTCTGAAGGGCTTCTTAAGTCCCTTCTACTTTTGCTTTGCTATTAGACCTTCCTGTGGTAACGTGGCAGCCTTGTCTACTATTTTGGTACCAAGTTGTGAAATGCCTCAGAGCGTGGGAAAACGCACATCCAGCCTTTAAAAGGTAAGTTTCATTTGGAAGTAGAGAAATTCTGCCAAAATAATGTGTCGTCCTCTCCAGGCAGATTCCTTAGTGCCCCTGAAAAAACAGATTAAAAGTGAACCTGTGGCTACTGGAGACTATGAAAAAGCTTTTCCGGGAGTCAAGTTGGCAGAGCTGGCGCATCAGAGAAGAGTGTGAGTCACCAGGGATCAGACCCTTGGGCTGTAGACACTCAGTGTTGCAGAGGACCTTGTGGTGGGAAGGGAAGGTCCCTGCTGGAGGGAGGAGGATGTCTATGGTCAGACCTCAGTCGCTGCTGCGCAGTTGCCATATGGACACCGTACTGTGCCAGTGCCAGGAGCTCTGTCATTGTGGTGGAAATCAGTGAGTGAAATGCCTCTCCTGCCAGGTTGTGCAGATCTGCAGGGGCTGGCACTCTGCGGGAGGGAGCGCGGTGCTATGTGGGCCGCTTGGCACGTGGCAGGGTGGCAGTGGATGGTTGAGAGCAAAGTGCTCATGCACAGCAGTTGTTGAGTGTCTTGAGCATTGCTGCAGAAGAAATCAAGGAGGAGATGGATCCTCATCCTCAGGAAAGTTTCCTGAAACAGAACAGAAGAGTCTGAACAAAGCAGACATTTCTCCTACAAGACTCCTGCAGACTGCAACCCAGGTTTTTTTCTGAAGAGCTTTTATATCCATCTCACTTGCAAGCTGCCTGCCTAGGATCTCATTGGCATTCTGCTTTTCTGCTGTAATCTCATGTTGTTAAGGAGTGTGATTTTTCTTCTTAGCTGTGCCGCATATAGAAGATTACATAAATACTGTGGAAATTTTGGGAGAGGGAAGATGAAGAAGAAGAAGAAAAACTAAACCCAAACCACCAAACCCTTCCTCTTAAGAAGCATTTTGACTATAATCTTATGTCTTCCTCACAGAGAAAATTCTGTTTAATGTAGGAGGAAGGCAGACATGCGTCTTTACCAAGAAAACCACAAACTGGCTTCCTAATGGTCCAACTGTGTTAATGAGCAATTACAAACACACTGAGCTGAGGTAGATTTATTCTCCTGGCAGCTGTTGCCCAAAGATGGTTTGATGTAGGAATGCTTTTTCCTCTTCTTCTGCATTGAATTCATTTCCATCTCCTTCCTCTTGCGTTTTGTTTTTTTTTTCCTGTTCCTTACAGCACAGCGATTCAGTTTATCATTTTCAAAACAGATGCTTTCAACGGTGTGCCTGATATACAGGGGTAAAATTGATCTTTGAATACAGGACCCTTTCTACTGGGTTACCATGAATGTGTTCGAGTTCTGAAATCCTCGAGGACAAGGTCCGGGCAAGTGTTGAGGGCAGCGGGGCAGGCTCACTGTGGCTGCAGTTCAGTGGTGCACAGACACCGCGCTGCTCTTTGCAGTATCCGAAGATTGTCTTCTTCCTCTAAAGTCTGAAATCGATCAAATAATAAGATTTTATCGGTCGTGCTTCCTTCTTTACAGAAGGAGTGAAAATTTGTTAAATATGCTTGCAGCTCGGAGAGGAGGAAGAAAGCTTCGAGCAGTGCTGCTAAAAACAGCCTGGGCTGCTTTTGTTTGGACGTGCAAAACGCAGCAGCTTAATGCCTCCATTGTATGCAGGGGGAAATATGCTAATTCAAAGCACATTTCCCATCAGAAGCCCTTTCAGGCCTGTCATCGCTGAGATATGAAGGCTGATAAAAGCGGGGAGCAGGGGCGGCCCGGGCTCTGGGAGCGCGGCTGCGGGCATTGTGTGCTGACGGGCCCGCTCACCCGTGAAGGCCCGGCCGGGCGGGTTCCCATGGGCGCCTGGCCTGGCCCGCGGCCCCGCCGGGGCACAGGCCTGGGCCCCGCCGCCACAGCCCAGCCCGCAGCCTGACACCCGCGGCTTCTCTCTGGGTAACGCGGACAGCTACTTTCTGTTCGCTTTAAGTGCGGTTTTAGCTGGAATAACAGATTTTTCGTGACAAGGCCTCCATCGCTGCTTTTCCAAGTTGCCAATGCGTGCAGGGCAGTGGCGCTGAGCTCCCTCTATGAAGAGTCGCCTTCAGCTCGGGAAATGGGGGATGCTGCAACTGGCAAGACTTCTTTCTTCTCAGTTATGCAACAGAACTGAGTCTGAAATGCTGCTTAGTCTATTACCATATTATATGGTTATATTTAAGGTTGAAATAAATGCATTCATGTTTGGTATGTACTAAAACTCTCTAAGCACTGGTCTTTAAATACTGACTATATGTATAAAAGCCTAGAGTTCGGAGTTTTTTTCCTTCTCTCTTAAAGTTGGGTAAAGGTCTTTAAATGATGAGTTTTGTCTCAGGAGCCAGTTGGTCCAGAACTAGGGAGATGCTCAGTTTACTCAGGAATACATTTTCTGTCTTCCTTTAAACATGTGTGTATTATTTTATTGTAGAAA